AAAACCCAGCAGAATAAGTCCCAAGGCCTGTAGCTCTGTGTCCAGCGTCAAAGGACTTAGATAGCTGCTCAGGTCTTCCACTTCTTGCAGCTCTGTTGACTGCAGCACACTTCTCTCTCTTGGGCCGGTTCACTCATTGTCTGCAGCCTTCACTGGCAGGTAACGCATGACTGTGGCATCTCCAACACCCCGGGGTTTCCAACACAATCCAGGTTTCATTTTCAGAGCTTCACACAATGGCCTCTCAGGGCTTCCATGAAGTGACCCCTTTGCCACATGCCTGGCCTCAGTGGTTTTCCTTATCCATGGAGGAAGATTTCACAAGCCCTTTAATCCTGCATCTTTCTGGACTCTGCCTGCTTGGGATGGAAACTGCCCCCCTCTCATTGAATTACATTTGCATAAATGTTGATTTCTAGTTATTTTTTAGGCTGAGGAAATACCTTGGGCCTTTCTTGTTCACATTGTAGGATTAGCTGTGTGGAGTCTTGCCCTAGGACACTGCTTCCTTTCCTCCATTTAGCATCAGGCCTTCCTTTGAACTTCTCATCTCTTTGAGCACAAGACCTGGCTCCGACATTGTATTTCCTGAGCTCTTTCCCTCCTCCAATTGCACATTCTGTGTTTCTTTTGCCCTGTTTGCTCTTTTTCATTATAGACCTACATAAGAACGATCACTAATAACCAAGTGACTTAGCCAACATCAGGCCATCTTGAAATTTCCTCTGCCAATGAAATTAGTTCAAAACTTTTCAATTCAGCATCAGACAGATTCTTAGACAAGGGCAAAAAGCAGCCACATTCTTTGCCAAGGTCTTTGCCAGTTGTTAATATTGCTCCCCCCTTAAACCCTTTTAGCCAGGCTTTATAGTCCACATTGTTCTCAGCACTACTGTCTTCCATGCTTCTACTAGAATGACCCATTAAGCCCCACTTAAATCAATCAATCACTTTTCTATTCCAAAGTCCCAAAGTATTTCATATTCCACAAACAAACAAACAAACAAACAAACAAACAAACACAACAAAAAAAACCCCCCAGGGCTGTCATAGCAATACACCATTCCTGGCACTAACTTTTGTCTTAGTTACTTTTCAGTTGTGAAGAAACACCATAACCAAGACAACTTATAGAAGAAAGAGTTTATTGGGGTTTATAGTTTCAAAAGTTAAGTCCATGACCATCATGGGGGAGAACATGGCAGTAGGCACTCACGGCACCAGAGAAATAGCTGAGAGCTTATGTCTGATCCACAAGCAAGAGGAGGCAGATACAGGGAGAGCTAAGAGAATGGTATGGACTTTTGAAACTCAAAGCTCTCCCTTAGTGATGCACCTATTCCAACAAGGCCACACCTCCAAATCCTTCTCAAACAGTTCCACCAACTGGAGACCAAGTATTTTTAAATACCTGAGCCTATGGGGGCTGTTCTCATTCAAACTAACACAGTGGGGGTGTGTGTGTGAAAGATTATTTTCTCTGTTGGTCTCAACTTTGGATTCCCAACCCACACTTCTGCTAGTCTCTCCAGCATCTTCTCTCCTTTTGCCTACTCGCCAGGTGGGCCTTGTCCACTGTGTCCTAAAGTTTCTTTGGCCTGGACCTTCTGTCTCTGGATCTGAAACACTCACCCGTGAGAGCGCTTTTGTGGGGGCTGCACTTGGTCCACACTGTTGGGAGCAGTGTGAAGCACTGTATCAGCTTTGCAACATGTCCTTCAGCTCTTACTTGAATAGGCCTATTGTGTTTTTAATCTGTTTTTTTTTTTTCCCATCTGCCCTCACAGACAACAGCTTCTAATCCCTTTGAATCCGTATACCCTTTTGAGTAGTCTTGTAGAACATGATCATCTGAGCAAACAGCTCCTACATTCATTAGATCCGCTGTGCCTTCTAGCAAGTGGTCATCACAATGGAGCTGTGACTGTAGACATTCCATCCAATGATGGATGGCGGGGTGGGAGGGTTACTGGACCCTCACTGAGACTCCAGCCACTCCTCCTAGCATTTGTAAGCTGTTCTGCCCTATATGGAGGAGGTGCTGGAATGTACAGACTTGGGGAGGTTAACTGAAGGAGTTCACCTGTGCAGCTCTGGAGTATTCATCAGGGTTCTCTAAGGGAACAGAACTGATAGAATATATACATTAATATATATTTGTATACATATGTTTAAAAGGGGATTTATAAGAGTGGCTTACAGGTAGTCCAACATGGCTGTCTAAGTAGTTGCTCAGTCCATAAGGCTGTATGTCTCAGCAGTCCTGATCTGGTGCTGGAGTCCTGGAGGATTCTTCCTAGGGAACGTCTGGTCTCCAGTCTGCACTGGACTCCTGAAGGAGGATCTCAAACCAGCGGAGGAGTGCCTCAGCAGCAGGATAGAGGAGCGTGCCAGCGAGAGGGAGGGCAAGCAGGCAAACAGCAAAAGCTTCCTGCTTCCTTGTCCTTTTCTGTGGGCTGCACCACAAGGTGTGGCTCAGATTTAGGGTGGGTTCTGACCTCAAATGATCCAGTCAAGAAAAATCCCCCACAGGCTGCCCAGCTGCTTGGATTTTAGTTGATTCCAGATGTCAAGCCCAGATGACAACTGACATTAGCTATCACATGGAGAAGCAGCTGCGGAGTCACCCACACTCCTGTGGGCAGCCCAATAAACTCACTGGTTCCTGGGGGTGAACTTTGGTGGAATTGTGCTCTGGGTTCTTTATAAGGTAGGGGTAGATGTTTACACATCCTCGAACAACAAATAGAATATCCTTCAATTTAAAAAAAAAGAAAGAAAGAAAGAAAGAAAGAAAGAAAGAAAGAAAGAAAGAAAGAAAGAAAGAAAGAAAGAAAGAAAGGAAAGGAAATCCTTCCCTTAATTTTGCACTCTCACCAGCTAATCTATTCTTTTTTTCCTTTTTTTAAAAAATTTTTATTTTTTAAATTACATTCATGATATTTATTAATTACACTCATGATATTGTTCACATTTGTGGTGTTCATAGATTACATTCACAGTATTCATTCAATTTTATATATATATAAATATATATATATAAATGCCGAATGTCATTTCCTGAAGTGGGGAGGAGGTCTTAAATACAGGCTTACAGCACAATGGGAGAACCCCGGAGGGCAGCAGCTAATCTATTCTTTGCAAACTGCTTCATTCCGTATTGATATTTGGGGTCTTAAATGTCTCATTTCCTGCTCAGAACAAACAAACAAGCTTTGAAATTTTGCCTAGTATCAGGATGAGAAATGAGGGTGAGTCGGAGAGTCTGTGAGTCTGAGTATGGAGGACGCTCCCCCTACTGGCCAGTCTGAGGACAGCAGGCTCCTAGGTCAGTTCAACCTGTCTGTGAGAGAGATTTCATGGATGTGTTTGGTGGTTAGTCTGAGTGTGACTGTGTGTGCTTGTGCAAGTGTATTTTTAATGTGTGCTGTGTGTGTACATGTGGAGGCAAGTGTGTAAAGTATGGAGGATGTTTTTATGTGTACCTGTTTGTGTCTGTGTGTTTACATACTGTGCTGGTTTTTAAATGTGTGTGGTATGAGCGTGTGTGTGTGTGTGTGTGTGTGTGTGTGTGTGTGTGTGTGTGTGTGTGTGTGTGTTGTAGTTGCTGGAATTTCTGTCACAGCCCCTTGGTCCTGTTCCTAGACCCGACCTTTCCAGTGCAGGCTGTACACTCCAGACAAACATAGCCCTCGGGGGCAACCTGAGCTATGTTTCAGTCCTGAAGGATGGCCATGGGTCAGTAAATATCCCAGCTCCAGAATAGCTAAGATGTGTACTTGACACTGGCTGTCTCCCAGAGTCCCTCACTAGATCTGAGCCTGGATGGGCACTGTGCAGACTTCAACACACTGCCTTCACTCCTGCCTCCCCTTCCCGTCCCACTTCCCCACTGCGTCGCTGGCTTCCAGGGATTATCTTTTAACAGCTGGCAGTTAAAGCCTTGCCTAAGGGTCCCCTCCAAAACCAGGATTTGAACTGCACGTTTTTTTTTCACAGTGGTCTGCGTATGTGGACACCAGCGTAGGACACACATGGTAACTGGCTCAGGCATACTCCTGAGGCGTATGCTCATACCCTTAGCAATGTGAGGCTCTGAGAAGGCAGCTTACTTGCTCAATGTCACACAGCTGGTGAGTGGCAGAAGGCAGCTTTTTATAGGTTTACCTGATCCCAAGGCAGGTGTTCACAGCTTTTTCAAAAGGCTGCTAAGGTCAGAGGATGCTCAAGGGGTGTTTATAGCTACCAAGTTCCCTGGTGGGTGTGTGAAAGGGATCCAGAATCCTAGCTGGTAGCTATGTCCTCATTCCATCACAAAAGTAGTGATGGCGAATCCAGACTTGGTGGTGCCTGTACACTGGGGTGAGTGTTGCTTTAATTCTTTGCTCAGTATTATGGATTTAATATTCACACCAACCCTCTATTTCCTCTGGTGAGAATGAAAAAACTACAGCACAGTGAGTTATAGAGAAGTGACCTAAGTCACAGCTGGTACTGACAGGTGCCACGTGGTCTGTTCTCATACACAATGCTGTCTGATTCTCACAGGTCACATGTATGGAGTCCTATTGTGTGTCAAGCATGGCACGCAACAGTTTCCTTTTTAAAATATAAATGATAGTTGTACAGAATAGTAAATGCTGTTTAAAGTGCTATCTACCCTTCATATAAGAAACGGGGCTGAGGAATGGCTCAGTGCGTGAGTGAAATCTGCTTCTAGGTGGAGACTGCCCTTGTCTCTTCCTTTAAGGGTTAATCCAATCGGGCAGGGCAGCGATCTGGCTAGAGGCTCACCCATAGGAAAGTGGGCCCATCTTAAGATAATGTACTTTTCTTTCCCAGAATGCCCAGGTGCTAGTGCAATGTCCAGGAGCCTCCATGGGGTTCATTGGCTCCGCTCACCTTTCTGAGTCAGTAACTTTTTCCTTTGGATGCTGGTAAGGCCCGACTATGCCTCTTTAACTCCCGATTGCTCTGGACTTCTTTACTGCTTTCCTCAGGTTCCTTCTTCATCGTGTGACTGCCTGCCTCCATGTGGCTGACTTCATGCCAGGTTGGCTTTTCCATTCTCCTCCTCGACAGAGCTTTGAGATGGACAGCTAATGGGCCCTGGAGATTTCCTTTGAGACTCTAATAAATTATCCTTAATCTTCTGCTTGAGTCTGTAATTTGTCCTTGAGTCCCTGTTTACTAGTCACTGTGATAAAGTTGCTATAATAAAGGCAACTCATAGAAGAAAGAGTTTATTTTGGGTTATGGTTCCAGAGGGACAGAATCCATAGTGGCAGGTGGACATGGCGGCTGGAGCAGAAAACCGAGAGCCCACGTCTTGAACTACGAGCACCAGAGAAAGCAAACTGCAAGGAGTGTGAGGCCTCAAATTCTCAAAGCCCATCCCCGGTGACACACTTCCTCCAGCAAGGCCACACCTCCTAACCCTCCCCAAACAGTGCCATCAAGGACAAAGTACTCAAATGCTTGAGGCTATGGGAGACATTTTTCACTCAAATAATCACACTTTTATTACTGTGACTAAAAACCCCATGGCGGGGGTGGGGGAACAATTTTTCTGTTATTATATGATGACTCTTCAGGAACTCCCTAAGATCTCCAGTAATGCTTCTTCCCTGCCTTTTAAATCTTTAATTAGCAAATGAACCAACAAAACCAAACAAACAAAAAAGCCAAAAGCAAGCAAACAAAAAACTGTTCTTGCAACCCTAGAGGGTATTACATTTGCTTGCAAACACAAGGACCTGGGTTCAAATGCCCAGAACCCATACAAGCTCAGGCACAATGGCACAAATCTATAACGTTAGTACTCTTGTAGAAAGGGAGTTGGAGATGGGAGAATCTCTGGGAGCCAGTGAGTCATTTAGCCTGGAGCATACAGCTGCAAAATCAACAAGAGACCCTCAAAAAAGGTGGGAAGTGAGGACTGACACCCAAGGCTGTCCTCTAACCCATGCCTGGTACTCCTCTGCGTGGATCCGTCTGCTCAGGTCTCCTCTCCGCTTCACCGGCACCTGCCTGCACCCCCCCACCCCCACCCCAAGCTCTTCCAACTGGGCTACTGATTCCTGGAATCCGACCTGGGGAATCAATCACCGGGCTGCATTCTTTGCTCTGGCTCCAAAGAATCACTTCTCTATGCAGACTCTGCTTCAGAGTAGGACTTGAATTTTGCCATACTGTGTCATTGGTAGGCAGAGGCAATTCTGGAGCCTCCCAGTTTTGTGCCATGAAAGACGTCACCAGAGAAGTTTCTTTGTGCTGTGGACAGCACTTCACACAGGGACTCACAGCTGGTCAAGTGAGAATAAACAGGGACAACTATGTCGTAACCACGCTCCACAAGATTCAAGCCTCCCTGAGGAAGCTGGGCAAAATGACCATAAGAGCCGGAAGTCTGGAAGAACGGGACCAAACTGTGCCTTCTGGATATGACTGGACTTGCGCACGCATGGATACACAGCAGCTGCAGCTGTCTGCCCAAGACCTGTTCAAGATCAAGGCAGTCAGCATTCCAGCATGGGGGAGGGATCACGGAGCCCCGAGCCCTGGCTGAGGAGCTGTTAGCAGCTGATGAGGAAGCCAGAGTCAGTTTTCTTTAGGGGATCTGGCCCCTGGTAGGTCTTCTGCCCCTGGTAGGTCTTGCACCTATTTGAATCAGGAAGAAATTTTAAAAAAGAGGTGGGGGTGAGGAGGTAGGAAGCTGATCTGCAAGGAATTAAGTGGCAGAGTAGAGGTGAATCTGATCAAAATACATTTTATGCATGTATAAAATTCTCAACAAATTAATACAGAATATTATGTATGCATTTTAAAAAAAGGAACGGCGCAAGCTCTCAGTGCAGTTCCGTGCAGAAGACTTTAAGAGATGGCCTGTGATGGGCCTGGCCTGGCTCCATTCCCCTGGCACCTGAACTCCTGATAATGACTTTACTAGATAACCTTATTCTTGGAAGAGTAGGGGCAGCTATAAATGTGGGGCTCAGCCTTACCTCCACTCACCTTACAATCTTGCTCACCCCCAAATCTCACCCTCCCCCCACCGTGAGAGAAGGGCCAAGTCCTAAGGATCTGGCATCCATGCTGTTTGTCCCTGAATTAATTCCACTCTGTAGCCTGCTGACCAACCCCCCTCCCCTTGGCCATCAGCCCAGGAGGGGAGGCGGCAGATGAGCCGGTGAAGGATTGGCTGACACAGCTGAGCCTGGCCTCCCATCACCTCCTCCAGGGCAGAAGCCTGGAACAAAGAAGCCAGCTCTAGAGAAGGGAGAGCTGTGGGAAACACACTGTTCCCGAGAGGAGGTGCCAGGCTAAGGGAGGCAGAGTTAGGGTCCTGTGCCGGGTTAGAGAGAGCTCTGAGCTCTCTAGGTACTCCTTAGGTAGCCAGCTGTCTGAAGCCCCAAAGCCACAGTGACCCTGTTCGCTTCCAGGTAACAGCCCCTGGCAGCCTCGCTCTGATTCAGCTATTTGGGGACTCCTGTCGCTCTTCTTCTTCTTACTGCCCCCCCCCGCCCCCTCCGCGTGGACCAATCCTCCTGCCGACAGCTTTCATTCTCCCTACCCCTGTCTACCATCCCCGAGGACCCCATCCCTCTTCCCGGTCTCTGAATCTCACCCTCTGTCCATCTGCCCCACAGAATGCCACAGTTGGATCTGTCCTGGTTGGGATTGAGCCTGGAGGCATCCTCACCGTGGCCGCTTGTGCTGCTCATTGGAGCTTCCTGGCTCTTGGCCCGGGTCCTGACTCAGACCTATACCTTCTATGGCACATATCAACATCTTTGTGGTTTCCCTCAGCCCCCCAAACGGAACTGGTTCTTGGGTCACCTGGGCATGGTGAGTGTGGCAGCAGATTGTGGGTCTCCTATTGAGGAGTGAATGCACCAGGAATGGGGTTCAGCGGGACAGTGGCCTGAGTCCTCCAGTGTCCTCTAGCTTTTCTCTTCTTCCTGTCTGCCACCCTTCGTTAGCTCTGGATTCATTTCTGCTCTGTTTCTCTTGAACACTGGTGGACACTGAGGGGCTTCCAGGGCGGATCATACAGAGTGAGGACCCCTGGTGTTCCCACATTGTCTGCTGGTGGACTTGGGGCCTCCTGAGAAGTCCCGTCCAAGGTCAGTGCCATTTTTTTCTGTCAGCCCATCTCTGGGTTTCTGTGTTTTGCTGAGGGTGATCTTTGGTATCCCTCTCCCACCACACACGGAGCAAGAGAACTATGGACTGTCTTCCTGCCTCCTGCTCCTGAAGCATTTTTTTTTTATGCTTGCGGTTCTCCCCTCAGATGGACCAGTGAGTCCTGTTGCCTGAGCAAGATAAAAGCCGTCTAACCCCCCCCCCCACATGCTTTCCTTTGACTCCACCCCTTGGACGTTGGCCAAGCCTATACTCTCCTTTGCGTGACTTGGTCTTGGTTGCTTCATTTGCAAATAGCAAAGCTCACAAAATACATACATACATGTTAGTGACATCACTCACAGGATGATGTCAAAATACTACACATAGGAATTCTTCAGGTCCATGATGATCTTATAGGACCAGGGTCACACACATATGCAGTATGTCAGTGATAAGAACACCATTATGCAGCATGATTTTATTCGTACAGTTATGCAAATTATTTATGTGAATATATAAATATATACATAACTGATATACAAGCTCTATACAACACATTATGTATATAACATTATGCCATATATCACTATATACATATATATGCATATATGTATGTATACACACACACACACACACACACACACACATATATATATATATCCACATGAGAGTGAGGGTAGAGAGAGGGGGGTACATTGTGTTACCATCATTGGTTTATATAATTATGGATTCTGAGCATGCTGCAGTATGTCATCTGCAAAGTGGAGACTGGGTAGCCAGACTGTAATTAATTCAATCTGAGAGATCAAAGGCTTGGCATCCTGTGTATGGAGGATCCTTGGGGGAGGAGCCAACCTGTGGGATGAGGTAGAGTCCAAAGGTCAAGGACCTGTACTGTGATGTCTGTGGGCAAAAGAAGAAGGGTGCACCAGTCTGGAAACGAGAGTGAATTTTCCCTTCCTCTATCTATTGTTCTACACCAGCAGTTCTCAACCTGTGGGTTGAGATCCCCTTGGGGGAGTCACATATCAGATATCCTGCATATCAGATATTTACATTACGAATCATAACACTAGCAAAATTACAGTTATGAAGTAGCAACGAAAATAATTTTATAGTTAGGGGTTACCACAACATGAAGAACTGTATGAAAGGATCACAGCATTGAAAAGGTTGAGAGCCGGGCGGTGGTGGCGCACGCCTTTAATCCCAGCACTTGGGAGGCAGAGCCAGGCGGATCTCTGTGAGTTCGAGGCCAGCCTGGGCTACCAAGTGAGTTCCAGGAAAGGCGCAAAGCTACACAGAGAAACCCTGTCTCAAAAAACCAAAAAAAAAAAAAAAAAAAAAAAGGAAAAGGTTGAGAACCATTGATCTATATGGTTCTTTAGTCGGATGGTGCCGCCCACCCTGTGGAGGGTGGGTCATCCTGACCAAGACTACTGATTGACACATCAATGCCTTCTGGAAACACCATCACAGAGATATCCGTGTTGCATCAGCTGCCTGAGCATCTCATAAGCGTAATGCACTTGACTCCTGACAAATCATCCCAGGAAGTGACTGCTCCTGTCTTGCTCATAGATCACTCCCACCGAGCAGGGTCTGAAGGAGGTGACTAAGCTGGTGGCCACCTATCCCCAGGGCTTCAGGACATGGATGGGTCCCATCCTCCCCATCATCACTCTGTGTCACCCTGACATCATTCGATCTGTCCTCAATGCCTCAGGTACTTGGGGGAAGCCGGTAGTGGTGTGGCTATGGGAAACGGAGGGCTTCTAGTCTTCACATTCATGCTTCTGTGTGATTCCTGAAGGAGCCCCGTCATGCTTTCTCTACTTTTCACTGAAGTTGTCAGGATGAAGCCCAGGCAAGTCTCAGCACAGAGGCTGAGAGAGTGCTGGACAGAATTCTTAGGGCTCATTCTGGCCCCTTGTCTTCGTAATTTTTTACTTGGAAAGCCTAGAGAAGGTGGGACCCCTTTCTTTTCATCTCCATTCAGAGCTAAGAGGAAGGTATCCTG